CATCCAACACCATCCAACCATCCAAAACCATCCAAGCATCCAACACCATCCAACATCATCCAACACCATCCAACCATCCAAAACCATCCAAGCATCCAACACCATCCAACAACCATCCAAAACCATCCAACACCATCCAACCATCCAACACCATCCAATCATCCAAGCATCCAACACCATCCAACCATCCAACACCATCCAAGCATCCAACCATCCAACACCATCCAACCATCCAACACCATCCAACCATCCAACACCATCCAACCATCCAAGCATCCAACACCATCCAAGCATCCAACACCATCCAACCATTCAAAACCATCCAGTCATCCAAGACCATCCAAAACCATCCAACCATCCAAGACAATCCAACCATCCAACACCATCCAACACCATCCAACACCATCCAAGCATCCAAAACCATCCAACCATCCAAGACCATCCAAAACCATCCAAGACCATCCAAAACCATCCAACACCATCCAACACCATCCAACACCATCCAAGCATCCAAAACCATCCAACACCATCCAAGCATCCAACACCATCCAACACCATCCAACCATCCAAAACCATCCAACACCATCCAAGACAATCCAACCATCCAACACCATCCAAGCATCCAACACCATCCAAGCATCCAACACCATCCAACACCATCCAACACCATCCAAGCATCCAACACCATCCAACACCATCCAAGCATCCAAAACCATCCAACACCATCCAACCATCCAACACCATCCAAGACAATCCAACCATCCAACACCATCCAACCATCCAACACCATCCAACACCATCCAAGCATCCAAAACCATCCAACACCATCCAAGACCATCCAACCATTCAAAACCATCCAGTCATCCAAGACCATCCAAAACCATCCAACACCTTCCAACCATCCAAGACCATCCAAGACAATCCAAGACCATCCAAGCATCCAACACCATCCAAGACAATCCAACCATCCAACACCATCCAAAACCATCCAAAACCATCCAAGACCATCCAAAACCATCCAAGACCATCCAACCATCCAAAACCATCCAAGACTATCCAACCATCCAAGACCATCCAAAACCATCCAAAACCACCCAAGACCATCCAACCATCCAAGACCACCCAACCATCCAAAACTATCCAAGACCATCCAACCATCCAAGACAATCCAACCATCCAAAACCATCCAAGACCATCCAACCTCTGACCACCTTGTCAACTGAGTGTCACATCCAGTCAATTCTTGAACAACACATGAGAGATTAGGTTATTCATATTTACGCCAAATTTCAAAATGTTAACCAAACCTTGAAGCTGCATGATTATTCTAGAAATGTAGGCATGCCCTTAAAATTAATTTCCAAGACTTTTCTGTCTTGAACAATATATGAGAGATTAAGTTATTCATATTCATGCCAAATTTTTTAAATCTTAACCAAGNAAAGGAAAAGGAAAAGGAAAAGGAAAAGGAAAAGGAAAAGGAAAAGGAAAAGGAAAAGGAAAAGGAAAAGGAAAAGGAAAAGAAAAGGAAAAGGAAAAAAAGGAAAAAAAGAAAAAAAAGAAAAAGAAAACGAAAAAGAAAACGAAAAAGAAAATGAAAACGAAAAAGAAAAAGAAAAAGAAAAAGAAAAAGAAAAAGAAAAAGAAAAAGAAAAAGAAAAAGAAAAAGAAAAAGAGAAAAAGGAAAAGGAAAAGGAAAAAAAGGAAAAAAAGAAAACGAAAAAGAAAAAGAAAAAGAAAAAGAAAAAGAAAAAGAAAAAGAAAAAGAAAAAGAAAAAGAAAAAGAAAAAGAAAAAGAAAAAGAAACAAAGAAAAAGGAGCAGAGAAAGATTAAGAAAGGAATCAAGAGGGTTACAAAAAGGATTTTTTTCGTGGAGGGGAGGAGAAAGCAAATACCTGAAAAATAAGTGAAAATTAAGTCAAAACACTGCAGGCAGTGGGAACGGGAAAGGAAAAGTAGAGAAAAGGGAAGGGAAAAGCAAGGAAAGGACCTGAAAAGCAGAGAAAAGTCTCTTAAGTACTGAAAAGTATAAGGAGTGGGAATAACAACATGAAACAAAAGGAAATTATAAGAATAGAAAAGCAAGGAAAAGGTAAGGAAGGAAGGGGGGGAGAAAGAAATTAAATTACCCAGAAAAAGCATGGAAGAGATGGGAAAAATGGGAAAAGTCAAAGCAGGGAAAACCAGAGAGGGGATGGAAAAAGGAGCAAAGGGAAGAAGAAATGGACCTGGAAAACATTTGGAAAAAAGTGGAAGAGGAAGGGAGAAAAAATTTGAAAAGCACTGAAGTGAGGAAAGGAAGCACAGAAGTATCCAAAAGTATTGAAATTATGGGGAAAAAAGAAAGGGAAAAGAGAAAAGATTGGAAAGAAGAGGGAGGAAAAACATGAAGGGAAAGCAAAGTGGGGGGAAACAAATGCAAATCAAGGGGGGCAAAGGAAGTGGGAAAGACAGGCAGGAAAAAAACAAGCAGGAAAGATGGGAAGTGAAAAGAAAATACAGGGGAAATAATGAAAATTAAGGGGGATTTAGAAAGATCCTGAAAAAATAATGGAAGAGAACTCCAAGGAAGGAAGGAAAAGTCAGAGCAGGGGAAAATCTGAAAGCACCAAGGAGAAAAAGGAAAAAAAGGAAAGACCTGGGAGGAAACCGAAAGGGAAAAGAGGAAGAAGAGGAAGGGAAGAGCAGGGGATGGGGAGAAAGAAAAAACAGAGAAAGAATGGCAGGAAAACAAACGCAAGGAAGGCACAGGAAAAGCTGTGAAAAAAAGAGGAAGAGAATAAAGAAATACAGGGAGAAGGAAAAGCAGAAAGGATTGGGAAAGCAACAGGGGACAGAAACCAGGGAAAAGCAGTGGGGAAAGAAGGGAAAGGCAGAGATGGAAAAAGAAGGGGAGGGGAAGAAAAGCAGAGATGGAAAATTCAAAGCTGAAAGATTGGAAAAGGAGGGAAAAATGTGAAAAGGGAGAAAAATTGTAGGGAAGGGGAGAAGGGTCAGAGTGGAAAGCAGGGAAGGGGAAGGAGAAGCACTGAGAAAGAACAGGAATTTGGGATGGGAACATAAAAGACTTCGAAGAGGGAAATGAGCTACAGTTTCAACTGAGAACCAAAGGAAAAGGGCACTGAAATTCTTCCTGCCAAAGTGACAATGTTGGGTTCTGACAGAACTCTCACTGCTCCCATGAAGGAACTCTGGGACACCTCTGCTTTTCCAGAGATTCCTGATTTCGCCTCCAGGTCACTGAGGCTCCAGCTTGGAGAATTTCATTCCCAAATGGGGAATGGGCACAGCCCTGAGGCTGCCAGAGCTGCAGGAGAGTTTGGAGAGCTCTGCCAGGGTTTGGGATGGTTGGGATTGTTGGGATGGTTGGGATGGCTGGGGGGCCTGGGCAGGGCCAGGAGCTGGAATGGATGATCCCTGTGGATTCTTCCCACTCAGGACATTCCATGGTTCTGTGGTTGAATTCCCTCAGCTTACTCTTGACTCCAAATGTCTCCAAATCGGGACTTTCCTTGGAGTACAAATCAGGAAAGGTTTTTGTTGAGCTCAGCTCAATGTGCTCCGTTCAGGACGAGCCTTTCTTCCTGTCCTGGGTAAAGGGAGCTCCATCATCACCATCATCATCATCATCATCACCATCACCATCATCATCATCATCATCATCAATCACCATCATCATCAATCACCATCATCATCCCTGCAGCCTCAGAATTATCAATTCCATCCACCAGATGCTGCTGTTGATGGAAGGAGTCCTGGATTCCTGCCTGACAGGAAAATCTGAAGGGAAAGAGAGCTTGGAAATGGTAAAGATGTCCCCAGGAAAGGGGAAAAGAGATCCTGAGGAAAGATTTCATTTTTTGGATTTTCTGCTTGAGATCTTCCATGAATTTCTTTAGGACAAACATTTGATTTTTTTCATGCATCATTTTCCATCTATCATTTTCCAATCATTAACTCCCTGGTTTTGGACAATCACATCCATCAAATCCATCTCCTTTCTCTAGGGAGGCCCACAGGAGGGGGATTTGGTTATTAATTTGGTTATTAATTTGGTTATTAATTTGGTTATTAATTTCTCCTGCCTTAGCCACGCTCCTCTTTTATTACTCAACACCACAAGCAATACCCATAAAACCTGAAGTTTCAAGAAATTGTTAAAACTCCTGTGATTTCCAAAAGAGATTAATAAATCAGTGCTCAGCAGGACTCGGTGATCACACAACAGATTTGACAAGTTTTAAACTCATTTTTAACAGAATCAAAGAAAGCTTTGGGTTGGGAGAGACGTTAAAAATCCATTTCNCCAAACAGCCGAAAACCGGACAAACGTGACTGGAAATGTTATTTAATTGGCAAGGCAGAACAGAATCAACGACAAAACTGCATTTTCAGTAAGACGATGCAAAACAAACAACTCAGCTGCATTTTCAGTAAGACAACACAAAATAAAGTACCAACTCCCCATTTTATATATTTTTAGATATATTTATTATTATCCTAATTGTTTTACCTACCCTTTTTCCATCTTTGGTCTTCTTCAAGTTCCAAGTGCTATCTGGCAACTTCTCAAAGAACTTTCTTGCTTTGGGTGCTTGGTCGAGGATGTGGGTTGGTGGAATCCCCAAAACTTCCACTATTTTATTCATCTGATCCACCTGTCCCAAATAAAATGGCTTGGTGAAGGACAAGTGACAGCCAGCCCAGCTGTGGCACAAATGTCAGCCACTCACACAAGTTCTAAGCTAAATTAATTAAGAAAAATTTAACATGGACAAAACAAATTAAGGAGTAAGAGGGAGACACAGAAAACGATGAATAGATAATTTTGTGTCCTGATAAAAGTCCTGTTATTGATCAGAATTACCAGATTTTCCTAATTGATGCATTCTAATTAAACAGATGAAAATCAAGATGGGGATTAACAACAAAAAACCCCAATTCCTGGGAGATAACTCACCTCATTTGCCCCACTAAAGAGAGGCTCTCCAGTGTGCATCTCGACTAAAATACACCCAAGGGACCACATGTCAATAGCAAGGTCATAAGGCATTCCCAGTAGCACCTCTGGTGAGCGATAAAAACGGCTCTGGATATATTGGTATATCTGCAAGAAAAGCATCTCCATGTCACCATCACACACAGCACTCCAAGGGAATGAAAATCCCAACATTTTCAAAATTTTCAAATTTTCAAAAACAAAACACAGCTGCCATGAAATCCCATTCTGGTGCAGGGAAAGAGGAGGTATCAGGGATAATAAAATATATATATATGTATTACATTAATAAAAGTATCTAATTGTTAATTTTTAGGAAAATATTATGGTCACAAAAAAAGCAGAAAGTTCAGCTTGAGTCATGCCATGCTTTTGTCATTGTGATTCTTAACATTTCAAAATTATCTTATTAATGATAAATCATGGATTTGGATAAATAATTCAGATATGAGTTCACCTGGTCTGTTCCTTCAGCCCTTCCTTTTAGTTTATAACAAAAAGTTTTTTTATTAATCTAAATCTCTGTTTCATTGCTGCTTTCAATCCAATATTCCATATTCTGATCCACTATTCCTAAATTTATCCTGGGAAAAAGCAGTGGGGTGCTGCTGACCAGTGCCAGCAATTGGGGCACTTTTGGTGAAGTCAGTCCATGAATTCCTGAATTCTTTTCCTACAGATCCAATCTGCAGTGTCATCATCATAAACAGGGGATGTGCTAAAGGAATGCTCAGGGAAACAGGAATATAAATGGAATAAGATAATAATAAAAGAGTATTTTATTTATTTATACTTAATTTTTTGTTTTATTTATTAGCACTGCAGATTTCTACCAACAAGTGCTGGTGCATTCTGCACTGACAGCACAAAAACACAGACAAGGAGAAAGAAAAAAACCATAAAAAATTTATCATGGGGTGGATTTTTTTCTACTGGGCACTAAAGGAAGTGTGGATTGTCAAATTGTTCAAAATAAGGTGTGGAAGTGACACTTTTGGACTTGGTTTAGTGGTGAACGTGGTGCTGCTGCTTCATGGTTGGACTTGATCTTAAAGATCTTTTCCAGCCTTGACCATTCTGGGATTTTGAGCTCAAATTCTGGGATTTTGAGCTCTTGTGGACTGTGGATCTCTATTTAAAATTGAGTTATTATTTGAAAACTGTTGTATTTGCATTTCCCCCAGATGAAGGGAGGAATGATGAATCTGACTCCATGTACTCAGAAGGCTGATTTATTACTTTATGATATTATATTATACTAAAGAATGTTAAACCATACTAAAGAATAGAGAAAGGATGCAGACAGAAGGCTGAAAAGATAATAATGAAAACTTTTGACTTTCTTCAGAGTCCTGGAACAGCTTGGCACTGATTGGCCAATGAGTTAAAATAATTTACATTAAACCAATGAAACAATCACCTGTGGTAAACAATCTC